GACCACCCGCGGAGGGTGAGAAGGGAATTTTTTTTATTTTTATGCATCAGATAATATGGAAATTCCAAAGTTGTCTAAGCTAAAGCCATGTAGAAGTGAATCTCCCGTCTACAGTAAGCAGGACACAAAGATAATATCTCTCATCTCCTACAACACAGCAGACAGTAGTATTCAGTGACATTAAGAAAAGATTGGATGTCCTCCACACATACTTTTTCCTTGATGATTTTCTCAAGATCATCAGATTGGTGTCTGTGGTTGTGTGTTAAACCTAATTCCATCCACAACAGCATGCATATGAAGGACAAATTATCTCAAGAAAATCACTGGGACAAAGAATATGCAGAAAATGTCCGCTCTTGGCTTTCATATTTCTCAATTTTAGCACTTGGGATATTTTTTTAGCGACGCACTGACAGTCTTTGATGTAAAAGATCTTCTTAAATGACTTCTCAGATTACCTGACTGTTAATGGAATCATAACAGAAGCATGTCAGAGTTTTCTTGGCAGGGCGCTAGACTCCTCCCACTTACCAGTGTGGTTGTAGCGAACATGTACTTGTCTCTCAACTGGAAGCTGTCCACCTGCTCCAGGATGACTTTCCGGTTCTGTTCACTCTGGAAGAAATCGGTGCTGCTTAGTACAGTGGAGACGCCTTGCGGCTCGTGTCTCTGGACCAGCACCGTGGTGGAGGGGTCGTAGGGTTCCACACCCCTGAGACGGAGGAGGAGAACAAGAAGGATTGAGACAGACAGGTGAAAGAACATGGGGAGAAAGGAGATAAGAAATAAATCCAAATAAGCTTTTATGTTCTCCAAACTAAACTTTTCTTAAATGTTTTTTTTCCTTTTGAAAGCCTGAAAATGTTTTATTTTTTTTCTGTTGAGCACAGGATTGGACATTTCTCCTCTCCTCACCCCTTCATAGTACCAGAGGGGGATCTTACCTGAGTTATGATTACAGTGGAAATCTCAGCTATATATATATATATATATATATATATATATATATATACACACACACAAAATTAAATCTGACAGCAAGACTGGACAAAAAAGCCATTTTTATGTCGCATTTAGAATAGAATAAAATGTATTGTTTTTTCTCAGATACCTTATAGAGGCATTATCAGTTGACGTCATGTTGCCTCATCATCTGTTCTAAAGTGTCGCATTCAGAACGTAGGCAAGAATACATTATTCTAACTATTAAAACTATTTACATTTAGGCTAATAAAATAATTTACAACTCTCCGCCAGCGCAGGTCACCTTGCTTCACCCTGCGACACTCTCGCACGCAGCTTTGCGGTGTCTGCAGTAGTCAGAGGTTTGATTTTTAGCACATCGTCTCTGCACTTTTAATTTCTGAAAGCTTAGTTTTTCACCAGCTTTGATGGATACAACTACATCTTCATTTTCCCTCCAATAGTGACCACAATGCAGAGAAATTACTGTATTTTATTTGCCCTATTCCGTTGACCTTATTGCTCAACATATATATATTTGTCTTATTGAGAGGGACTTGACATATCTCATTGAGAGCTGATGACCTTACTTACTGTGAACAAATTGCTTTAATATTGCTAGTAACTACTGTCCGAAACGGTTGGGACATTTTTTTCATTTATTGACTCATCTGCATTTAATACTTGTGGGCCATTAAGACGCATCTCATTCAATAATGTCACTTTGGTAGAATAACTTATTTTATCACTCTGTGATAAACAGTTGTAGTACACTGACAAGTCGACTTGTTGCAGATACAAGTGAAGTTGCAACAAACAAATAATCTGTTTCCAAACAAATAATCCCACTATAGTACAAGCACTTTGGAATTCTTGAGTGTTTCTCCAATTCAAGAACAACAAAAGTTTAAAAATAGAGAATTTTTCAGGCATACTTTAATTTTCACTATAGAAATAGTCATTAATATTGCACTTTAAAACTATCTAATTGCAGTTGAAGTACTGAACACATTTTATGTTGCAGAAATTTGATTCAGTTCAAATGTATTTTATTCCAAAAGGTAAATTAAAATGACATAATTTATATAATTAAGTATCTCCAGAGTCATAGATGGTGATGCCTGACCTGGAAGAATTTCCACCATCAGTAAGTGGACCTCTGACTGAAGACTGGCTGTATGATTGTCTCACAACTGTCCACACAACTCACCCCCCGCCCCCTGGACTAGAAGCTGTTTTTTTTGTTGTTGTTTTTTGTGGGTTTTTTTTTTTTTACCTCAGATTGACAAACTTTCTGTTTCCCCCAAGCTAACAGAATGAGTCGAGTAATGTTTAATGCAGGTATTCTTAGCTAAATGATGACTATCTAATGCCAAGATATCACGTTAAGCTTATTAACAAGGACAGGCTAATAGTATTGTTATCTACCATATGTTCAAAAGTGGGTAGTACTGGTTACATTTACTTGAGTAACTTTTTTGGGGGGAATAGTGTATTTATAGGAGCAGTTTTACTGCACTGTAGGTTTTTTATTTTACTAAAGGAATATTACTATTGCTACTCTTGAGTAGATTGATTTTACATTTAAAAAACAGATTTCAGAGACAGGAAACAACAGATACTTAGATTTCTGAAATATATGAGCTAATGTTTATGCAAATTTGGGTATAAATACTGAATTTTTATACATGTCACTGTTTAGATACTTATTGTTTATTTTGCACTAACAAACGGCCATTTTATTTGAAAGGTAACTTAAAGGTTTGTTTATGTATTTATATTCAAGTAAAAGCTAGTTTAATCTGCCCCTCTCCCTTCCCCTTCCTAAAATAAGTCAATATGCCCCCAGCTAATTCCTCTGGAGTTGGGTTTGTTCCACAGTAACATGTCCTGGATGACATCATCTGTTGTTAGCAGCTCTGCTAATCAACTTTGCTTTTGCTGCTCCTCTTTAAACCTCTCTGTTACAAAGTCAGAGATATGATCCTTGTTCAATTTAATTGATAGATCTTCCTCATTCTCTCTGCACCCATGAAACCTTTTCACCGCCTCTGGAATTTGGGGTCAGAGTTCAGATATTATGTGAGCTTTTGAGGTGCTCATCAGCTGCTCCAATAAGGCCCGTCACAATACATTTTGCTGGACAATAAATTGTCCCAAAATTATTGTCATTAACAAAAATATTGTTTTGAAGTCATTTTCGAGTAATATATAGATATATATTAGTTCACTCTCTAAAAAGACTAATAAACATTGATTTAGAAAAGAACACTAAAGACAGGGACTGGAAGATACTTTAAAATTGCCCTTCAAAAAATATTAATCATCAGAGTTATTGAGCTCATTTTAATTTGCCTTGTGATTATTTGATTAATTGATTAGTGTGACAGGATTATTCCCAATTGTTAAAAAAATCTAAACTTGTTGCCATGGTTACTCATCATTAAAAAAGTAAGAGGAAAAATTATTCCTGCTGCATGCACTTCATCAAAAGCCAGAAGGAGTAACTGTCCAAACATGCAACATCTTTTCATTCTCAGAATCAATCAGGTAAAAGAAAATCAGATTCTAGTGACTGGCCTGGCATCCCCATCTTCTCATGATTTTTTTTCACCTCAAAACACAGCAGCAATCAGAATCTGCACAATATTGACAGCAAAGCCAGCATAATAGGTTTGAGCTGCTCAAAAAGCAGATTGGCTGCAGCACAAATTGTCCTGTAGAGTACCACTACATCCAAGGCCATGTTAATAAACTGTCAATCTCTCACAGCAGTATAGGCTCTTGTGCCATTTTTATTTTGTGTCATCTCCAGTTTTAAGAGTGTTCTGGGTCAGAATGTGGTCCTGCTCCTGTGAGGCTGCTCTGTTTCTTTGGTGAGTTCTGGACTGAAGTGGTCACACTGTCAGACACAAATTAAGCAATGTTGCTATCCTTGTGGCTAGGAGCTCCCAGCTGCTGGTGTAAAATGCTCGAAGTCATGCCTAAATATTTTATTTGTGCTTCGATATGCTTGTTTTTTTTTCTTTTTCTAAACAGGATATTCTTGCTGCACGAATTAGTATTTCAGATGTGTTAAGTTAGAAACTAAATTCTGTCTAACAACACTGCTAAACCACACCAAGAATCTGGACCTCATATTCTTTTTTTTTTTATTGTTGTTGACATGACATTTCTGAAGAAAAAAGTTGATTTGCCATTTTCCAACCAGAAACACATAGCTGTATATGGAGCTATTTGTAGCCACCAGACTGGAGCAGTATGGAACAGTCGCTCGGCTTGCATGAATGGAGGTGGTTTGCTGCATCCTATCAGCAGCTTTCCAAAGCAGGCTGTTTTCCTCCACAGCTTGGACAGCTGAACAGAGAGACCAGTGTGTCGTCTGGGCTGCTTCTCTGGCCTCCTTTCAAAGCTCCCAGTTCAACTTGCAGACGCTGTCTGGACTCTATCTGCTCCTTCCTCTGAACTAATCCCTAGGAGAACACTCAGAATGTCCTCACCTCTTTTGGTTGTTTTTATGTTCACCTGAGTCAACCTGCATATTAATGGCTTCCTGGCAGATTTTCAAGAATCCCAAAGCAATATTTTTAGAATGCATTATCAAAAAGAAATTCCATTCCAAATTTCAGTAGAATGTAATATTTTTAATTTATGTACAGAGCAATATCAGCTGGTGAACAAACTGTTATGGTTTAACCAACCTAAAACCAGCATTATGTAACTTAATTCATTTTTAGATATTATCTGTCATGACAGATATGTGAAAAAGTTTAGCTCCTCTGTCTTCTTCCAGTGCTATCAACCAATCAAAGTCAAGAGGCGGTCTTCGCCCTCACTTGCACCTGCTCACCCCCTTCCAGAACCCCTGAGGTCGGCTTCTTCCTGATAGCTGAGCCTGTCATGAATGCTAGGCTAGTTAGCATGGTCACTTATGACAGCGGATAAATATTTTTCCTGTCATGTAAAGTCGTTTCTCCACCATTAGCACACTGAACAGCAATTACATTAGGATAATTGACAGCTCCAAGACTGTTCTCCTGGCTCTGATTGGTTGTTTTTGGTGCATTTCTTAGGATAACAATATCTCAGGGAGGTGAGAGAGGAGATCAATCTTTTCACAGATTATCTGTCTCTTAAACAGCCATGACATCATGACAGTTTGAATAAATATGCAAAAAACATATTTATTCTGAAACTGGGTTTCCAGTTTCAGACGACAGCATAAAAGTACTGTGTCAAGAACAACACTCTTTGTTTGTGGACAATGCTACAGAGGAAAACGGACAAAAGTTT